TATATAAATCTATAAAAATATATATATATATATATATATATATATATATATATATATAGTTACAGCTCCACTCTGTTAGTAAATGTTCATGCTGAGTAGGTGGGCAAGCTAACATTCTTACCTACCTTAGGACAGAAGATGACCTGCTACTGAACTCCGTGCACCCACTCTTTAAAAAATGTATAAGCTGATCTAATTATGCAGGATCATACTGATGATTCTTGGGTTAATTAATTGTTCCTTTCTGGCTGGTCTCAAGTCACACTGAAAACTGAGTCACATCAACCAACTGCAAATGAGATTTCTCAAATAGAAGGTTGATTTGTAGCGCAGCAAGCATCCTGTGGAATAAATCATCACTTGGCTCTCCTACGAATCCGGCCAACTTCCCCAAACACATCATTTGTATCTTGTGAGCACTGATCATCTAACTTTAGCTGAAGTGAGGAAAGATATTAATGTTAAAATTAATTTATCTGCTGGATTCTTGCCTAATAAATATTGAAAGTGTTTTTGCATGTGACATTACAATGATCTCTTCTTTTGAAATGTTTACTTTAATAACATAACAGGACATTAACTGTTAGGTGTCTGGAATATATGATCCATGTATTGGAGTGACCCATCTCTTTTCATACAGGATAATGCATGAATTAAGACAAAGGACCAGTTCAGTTCCTTTCACGTGATGTGAAGCTGGCCCAGGATACAGTCAGTAGGCACCTGAACTGTAAATGAGGGTGTGTGAGCACTCCCGAGTAAAGGTGTTCGGTTTAATCATTGTCATTTCCACACTGAAATGCTCCACGTGGTGAAGCCTCATCACAGTTCAGACTTCCACTTGAATGGAACACGTTTATTTAGTTCTCCCGATTTTTTAAAGGATGTTAAGCTTTGATATTTTCAATGAAAATGGTGCTGCATTTGTTATTGTTGCTTGCTCCTTTGTATTCAGTGAGAAATAGATTACCTATGTCCATTGTAATGTACTATTCATAAAAGTTTTGCAGTTTGTAAGAATATATCTGCCAATAAAATTGAATATAATTATTTTCTTGGAAGCATTACTATGGGAATTATTATAATTCAGACTTAGATTTTAAAGTACTAGGAAAGAGTTGCTACACAGATGAAATTAATGACTACATAACATGAGTACTTTCCAGAACAAAGGTGGTAGATTAATATGCCCCCACATTCAATGTGCATAAGGTCACCTTCATATCTCCTTAACTGTCAAATCCTTGTTGAGCAGATTTGAGCTGGGTATCAGTAATAAGGTCTCAGAAGACCCTGGTGCTGCTGGCAGCAGTCCCTTACTGTGTGATACAGTCTAAACTTCTACGTATTTGAGGGAATAGTTTTTAGGAGACTAGTTTTTCTTGGACTTTAAAGTCTAGATAAAATTGATAAAGTGTACAGGAACAAATATGCAATAAACGGTGGTGATATGTATAAAAAAGTAAATTAGGCATAAGTTTGAGAAAATGATGTTAAGTTTTAGGAGGCAAAGCCATTGTTGGTGTAAAAAAAATGAACAGGTCCTCTAGGAGGCCCAAACAATCCCTCTTTTAAAAACTATAAAATAAAATTTGATCATAGGATTTAATTAATTTCAAATATACAAAGCTACTTGAAAATTACTTACTCATAATGAGGTAATCTTTGTAAGTTATCACTTAATAAATTAAAGCTAATGACAGAGAGAGCCAACCACATGATACTGTTTAAGCTCAGTGGATTTTGAGAGTTTTTCTTATTCCATTCACATGATATGTTTATTAGCTTTTATGTTTTGTAATATCCTTTTTATTAACAGCTCTGTGGTTCATAGATATATTGACAATGCTGCTTATTTTGAATTTACTTCATTAAAACACATATAAAACTTGTCTCATTTTAGCTTGAATTTAAAATCTCACTGTTCAACTCATGATTTCTGGAAAATGTTTAGCCTGTAGGGCAGGTGTCCTTTTGATTCTAAAGGCTCATTGTCCTGTTGTCAGACCTCCAGAAAGAGCTTGTCTGCAACCTTTAATGACCCAGTACCACATGTCTTCCATACTAGTGAATGACGTTCTCCACTAAGAGATGTTTCGTGAGTTCAAATTATTGAAGAATATTAAGGAATTATATTCTCCTGAGGATCGCTAAAAACAAGAGTGTTTTAAAGTACTATTTCTAGCACTTTTATTTTACATCACCTCTGAGAATAAATGTCAATGTATTTTAGAAAAAAGGGGAGGGGTTGAAAAAATCACATCCCAGTGAAAACTAGGAAGGTAAAGCAAGAGTCAGGCTATATCAAGGCTGTACAATCTACCTGACATCAAAAATTCTTTCTCAGACCAAACACACCAATAAATATACTTGCCAATGATTCTCAATCTCAGAAAATTATATTTGTGGAGATTTCTCTAAAAGTAGAGATTTATTTTCTTCCATGTGTTATTTAGAGACAAATATGAATTACAGACTTATTCATACAAAACAGACTTATTCATAATGTTATCACAGATAAGTTTATTATTTTTAAAAGGAAAGAAAACAATGAAGATGTTGGAGGGAACAGAATATGACATGGAATGGAGAGTAGGAATATACAGAGACAAGCTGTCTACACATGAAGTCAAGGGTTGTAACTTAAAGAATGACAAACACATTCACCTTCTCCATGACAATCAGCTAACAATGCCTTTACTCATTTGGTGATAAATAGCAACATGGTATGAAATGGATATTCATGGAGGATATAGAAAATACTGGGTTAATATACAGGTATATCTTACTATAAATATGGACAGCATTTTTCCCTTCCCCAATGACTAATAAAACCCTAATAAATCTGAAAATGATTTAATCCATGTTCCATCTGGATTTATGAAATCATAGGAGCTTTGACAAAACTGAAAAACTCAATTTATTCTGTAGCCAAATAACTGAGAAAAATGAAAATACATACAATGCTGAAATGATCACTCTACCATCTTGCTGGTCATTCAGATTTCCAACACAAAAGAAAATATAGCACTCTTTCCCACTGAAAACACAGTGTAAGAAGTGAGAACATGGCTTAGGCGCTTGCCTTCAAGGCAGCTTGGAATCAACGCTGTGATCTTCTCGGGTACTATTTTGAATGGCACTGAGCTGCAGACATGACTCACACTTGGTTGCAGCCACATTTCACCAAGATCACATGGAAATGTTGCATTTCAGGGCACCCTGGCATATGGTCTCTTGAATCTATACAGCCTGGGTTGTGATACTTCAAGAGTAGTTTCAATCACATTTTTCCAAAGGAAGTGCTGGATGAATAGCACCAGAGCTGCTAATAACTGACTAGTTTTATATAGGTCAGTGGCTCTCAACCTTCCAAATGCTACAATCCTTTAATACCGTTCCTCTTGTTGGGGTGAGCCCCAACCATAAAATTATTTTGTTGCTACTTCATAACTGTAGTTTTGCTACTGTTATGAATCATAATGTAAATCTCTGGTATGTAAGATTATCTGATATGTGACCCCCTAAGGTTGACCTAGATTTTAGGTCCTCTCAGGTGGTCTATGGGAGAATTAGAGGTAGACAAGCTTAAGAGAACAAGTAAATGCCCACTATTCCTTTCCCCAGAAGGCTACTCCAGGCCAACGTTGAAATTCACCTTGGTAACTGGCCCTGTTACCTTACATGAATCTGCTGACCACAAGTTTGTGACGCATTGTGTGAGAACACTCCCACAACTGTCTATGCTTGTACTTGAATGAACAACATATTCATTGTAAAGGATTCATTGTTGTTAATCTTTAAATGAGTTACAGTTCTATACATGGGGGGTAGGGGGTATCGCCCCATGTGGTATTCAGGTTCATTTACCTTCTGAACACTGAGGAATGTCACAGACTTCGTAGCGTACCTCTGGATTGCTTGTGAAACACCAGGGTCCCCCTTCTTCCCCTCGAGGATTTCGACAGTAGTTTTCCTGTAGGTCTTTACCGCGATAGCTCGAAGGCAAAAAGCTAGTTTTAAAATGATAATCATCACAGTATAAGAGCATGCAACTTTAATAGTGTTGGCCTATTAATTATACTAGTTACTGGCTAGGTTTCCCCCAAAGTGGAGAAACTTGTCTATCTCATGTAATTTAGTGTATCCGTACTTCTATTTTGCAATTTAAATACTTGAATTTTATTAAAATTTACCTAACTGAACTTCTGTATTCCACACCAAATTAGTAATTACTAGCCTCTGAATTCCCACAAGTTCAAATATTCTAAAACATAGCTGTGTTTTTTAAGATCGAATTTCAACACTCCAAATCACAAGTAATAAATTCTCAGACTTAGTAAAACCTGAGCCATCATCTCTGCAGTTGGCTTCCAGATCTGACCCTTATGCTACAGATCCAGGATCATCTGCTTGTATACAGCTTTCCTCATAATGGCTCACACACACACACACACACACACACACACACACACACACCTTTGTTTCTTCACAATTGAAGAAAAAGATTGGTGACACAGCATGAGCCAAGAATCCAGGATTTCAAACTAAGGCTTGATCCCACATTCAACTCTTTGTTGTGAGATACCAGCACATAATTGAACCCCTCCAGCCATTAACTTGCTTACTAATTCACTAAGAAAAGCCAGAGCTTGTAACAGTTTAGATTTCATATGGCTGTTTGGGGAAGTTGAAGGAGATGATGTGATATTTGACAAATGGCACCTATAATCAAGCACACCCTGCTCATTGTCAGTGCTATAACAAGGAATCAAATGGCTTTAATCTCTTCAAAAGCGTTGATAGTGATGACTGAGATTGAGGTTTGGAGTTCTCAGTTTTAGTCCATAAATGTATTTCATTGGGTGTATTGAGATCAATTTGATAACCTCACCTAAAATATCTCAAGCTCTACTGGTAGTCTGTGACCCAGAAGTATCCTCCAGCAAGAGAAAAGGTGGAAGCTATCTATATTTGTAATGCTTACAGCAGTGCATCCTATATTTGTCTGCTGCAAAACAATATAAGAAAAGAACATTCCTCCATGGATAATACCAGTAAAATAATTTCAACCCAATCACAAGTCTTTGCTAAAACCTGTTTCTACTTTTATTGACCCTAGTGTTCTGTGTGAATACAAAGTTTACAGATCTGAGTCTCTCAGGAAATAGGATTCAAATGTGCTTTCTATCCAGTGACATGATTGTTGGGAAATGGATATGCTAATTATCTAGAGTTGGTCATATACATGAATCAGAATATCACACACTACTTTTAAAGTTACTATGTACTAATCAAAACAAGGAAAATGAAAGAAAAATCTTTAAAAAAATAAAGATGTTATACCACACAATGGATACTGGCATGAGAATCATTTTCCAAGCAAATTTTACAGTAGAAGGCTTTTGTTTGAGCATGAAGAAACACCACAGTCAGGCCTTCAGAAGACATAAATCAGTGGTCAAAAATTAAACAGTCTATTCAAAGATATTATTAAAAACGTGCAAGGAACCAAAATAGTATTGTAAGAATTAAGCAACTTCAAGGTATGTCTCAAAAAAAGCATTTACATCCTTACTTCACCAGCATTTTAAATATAGCACAGAAATAAGAAATTAGTTCATATGTTTGGTGGAACTTTTAGTTAAAGATAACTAAAAATTTTAAAATCTTAGCCAGAAGGTTTTGATTTTCTTGATTGATTTTCAAAAAATAAGACATTTGTCTTTTCTTAGCTGTAGTTCCATCATGGAAGAATTTTGCATCTGTGTCCTGTGTTCTTAATATTGCCTGAAATAAATTTTATTTCACTTTTTGGCACTTCCCCAAATATGCATGGTAAATTATAACAAAATACTTCTCTATTAGAAATAAAACTGACTTTTGCTTTATATATTTGATGAAGTAACTCAAATAAATTTACTTAAAGTCCACTGTAACTTTATGTTAGGAAAAAGCAGTGGTGATATTAGTTATTACTAATCACTGCATCATAGGTACATATCACCTATCTGGTATAGGAATAAAGTATTTATTTAGTTGCAGGTTCATCAAATGAACAATATTTTACTTAGGGCACTAGTGACTTCAGAGACTGCAGCAGCATACCCTGGGCCTGCACATGTCTGCAGAGGTCCTCTGCTTATATATTATGACTTCAGGTTTAGTGTTTGTATATAAGTCCTGGGTGTGTGAACAAATGGGTTTCTGATTATTGTGCCTTCCTTTGAGTTCTTTTCTCTCTTTATTTTTCCTATACAACTCCAATGTAATAGTTTTTGTTTTAGCTTAATATATTTTTATATATATTATTATCTCTTAGAAGCCTGTTTGCTTTCTAAAGAGAAACAGAGAACTAGTGGGAACTGGATGGGAGGGGAGTTGTGAAGGAACTAGAACGAAGGTGATTCATAATCAGGATATATTGTGTAAGAAAAATAATCTATTTTCAATAAAAGAAAGAAGTTTCAAACCTTAAAATAAAATTGCCCAGTAAATCAGAAGAAGTAAGAAACTAGTGATTCAATATTGACAGTTTCAGAAGACTCCTATTCCATTAAGGTTGAAATGGGAAGGTAAGATGTAGAGCCTCCCAAAATTTAAAAAGCTGTGAAGTTTCTTGTGTGTGTGTGTGTGTGTGTGTGTGTGTGTGTGTGTGTGTGTCTGTTGTTGTTGTTTGTTTGTTTTGTTTTATAAGAAAAAAACAAGTAGGAAGAATCAGAGAAAAGTAGAAATTTAAACTAAAGATGGCCAAAAGAAGAAAACTATTCTCACTGGAGTTAAAGTCGGAAAATAAAGAGAAAGGCTGTTCTTGTTTTTATAATTATGAGTGAATGAACATCAAATCCCTCTTTAGGTCACAGAGGTTAAAGTGTTTCTCACTTCTTTATTGGTCTTTTTGTCCTTCACCCACAACCAGCTGGCTTTCTTTTGTCTCACAGGTGTTCAGTCTGATTATCTTCAACACCCCATACTTGGCCAGGGTATGAAGCCTTACCCACTCTTTCACTTATAGGTGTTCATTAGACAAATGTTTATGAGAACTTGTTACACAAAAGGCCTGTGCCAGCTTGTGGAATCTGAACTGAGCTGTTATTCACACAGATACTATTTTTATCTCTGTCCTTGCTGTTAGCAAAGTTTAAGAGAGATAAGTGAAGAAATATTTAAAACTGGGTTATGTCCAAATATACTCTAAACCATAAACTAGGTCTTCTGGGTGCTAGCCTCCCTTTTTTTCTTTTAATATAAGCTATGTTCATAAGAAACTTGATCTATTCTATCATCTGCTTCACTAATGAATGCTAGAAGGCCAGTGAAAGATATAGATGTAGATATCAGGTCACCTGATTTTCTGTTAAGCTTTTGTGTTAATTTCAACATCTATCATCATCTTTCCATTAAGCCATTTATAAAATATTTCAGTTTAGAAACTCAACAATAAATCACTCTGCTAGACAAAAACATATTTCTTATTCCATTTCTCATAAAATTAATCTTTAGTTAACACCTAATTTTAAAGTGTTAAGCAATCATGAAGCTATTCCAATAACACTGCTAATTGATAAAAAATTAAGTATTGCTTTCATCAAATAAAAAGGGATTTGAATAATATACAAGATACCCATGTTCCTTGGCAAAATATCTGATTGAATAGGAAACCCATTTCCCAGGGAGAACATTTCACATTTACTCCTCAAGCAGAGAATAACAATCATAGAGAATCTGGGTTGAAAGAAAAACTCTACTGGGGAGTCCAGCACACTCTCCTGGTCTAAGGTAAGATTGATTTCCATGGTATTCTTTTGTTTGTAAAAAGTTAGATCTAACTATTCAACCAATGGGTTTTCATCAGTATGCCCACCCCTAAAAGAGAACAAAAGTAGTTGTATTATTTGCTTTCTAATCCAGAAGCAATACCATGTTTTAGAGGCATTCCTTTATAACTGTTGTAAATAACTTTGGGAAGTTATTATACCCTATACTACTACAGAGCTGATCAACTTGGACAGTCACTAGCTAGTGTTCATAAGGCAAAGTCTAAAGGTTTCATTACTGCATCAAACAAGTTAACTTTTACATTAATAAATCACTTGATTAAATCATATCTGTTTGCTAAAACAAAATCAATCATTGTGCAAGCAAAGGCTTTTAAAAAACAGAAAGGAATGAAAGTGTATTCATCACGGGAAGGCCATCACATTTTGTTACTACCGACAAGTCAGAGCACAAGCACTACAGATAAACTCACAATCTCACACTGGAGGGTTGCTGCACACACTGGATGTACTATGGAACTGGTAATGCCACTTACCATCTATGTATGACCCTGAAAACACTAAGGTTCTCTGTGAAAATCCTAAGATTGCTTGGCCTACATTTACACTACATACTTAAGACCATAAAACATATGAAAGTTAACTGTCTACCAGGTACTCAGATGTGGTAAGCTAAACCTTCCACAGAAGTTTCTAACCAGGTAGAGCTGTTTTAAACTATTGGAGTTCTTACTGAGATTATATGTGAAATATGTCTGGAGATCATGGACACAGTTCCCTAGTAAATAAAAATGCTTATATATGTTTATATAAAATGTTTATGTTTTTACTCCATGATGATTAAAATCTCATAAGCCTATGGATATTATCTTTATTGATCTCTAAATAACATCTTTCTGCTATAATGAATAAAGTTCTCTTCGGTGTAGCTATTTAGTGTCAAAGAAAAAACTCCTTCTGGAGACTTTAGGCAACGGGTGACATAGGGATGAGAAAGCAAGTGATCTGGGGTAAAAGAGTTTGACTAGTGGGTCCTGGCCTGATCTGCACTTCAGAACCAATTGAGGAGCCTCATCCCCACCCCTACTCCAGAGGATCCAATTTAACTGGTCTGCTTGTACCTTTGGTAGTGGGACTTTCCAGGATTGGCAATAAGTCATTGTAAGATGCAGCCAAAGCTAAGATCTTCTGAAGTTTCAACACATGCTTTGTGAGGTCTAAATCCTGCTCTCCCTGTTAATTCACAGTACCCTCTCAAAGGCAAAAAAACAGAGTCATTTGCAATAACATCTAAAATTGAGACACTGAGGTAAAAAAAAAAAAATGTTAGGCCATATTTAAATAGCAAATCTGTTAATCTCTTGGTACTCATTAATCATGATTCCATCAAAGTTTTGGCCTAGCACAATTCAGCAACACAGACTAGGTGATAACAGAAGGGTAGTGCTACCCAAAGGACTAATGGGCAACTGTTCACATGCAGACAGGTGAGGTTGCTTCCTCTTTTTATCATGCTGTTCTTACCTGTGCTCATGGGGGATCATGGAACTCCAAGGTTGACACTTGATGCCACTCTTGGTGATAGATACTGTCCCCTTGTAGCTGCTTCCTTTACCAATGATGCAGTTTCTAATGTAGTCTATTGAATAGCACAGAGAGAAAATGTTAGAACTATGTGAAACACCTACTGTACTTACTGGAGAGGAAAAGCAAGAATCCACTTCAGCATGTGAGTCACCAATGGATGCCAACTGTTTCCAATAATACTGAAAATTCTTGCTAAAGCTTGTACTAGTATTTTCAAGCCACACATTTCAGAATAATACAAAGCAAACAAGTCAAGTTGTCATACAATTTAATTTTTGACTATATAGTAGAGGCTAACTACAGAGATTAGTCTTCGTCCTTAATTTGGATTAGTTTACATACTCAACTGGGTAGACCACTGTGACTTGATTAAATAAATGTGCCAAAGAAAATATTAAAAACAAAACTTAGGTAACTTCCAAATCTATTTTAAATTCTGAAATAAAATGTAAGCAAACAAAACTGATTTGTCTTATCTCAGTAAAATTATGTGAACTTGTTTTTTTGTGGTGTGTGTGTGTGTGTGTGTGTGTGTGTGTGTGTGTGTGTGTATGTGTGTGTGTGTTTGTGTGTGTGTGTGTGCATTTGCATGAATTAACTACATTGGGTTAGTTATTATTCTACATGTTTTTTAATAACATTTCACTTTCTAACATAGAGAACTGAATTCTAAATAGGGGCATATTAGTTACAAAACAAGAGGATGTGCAGCTAGCCAACTAGAGAAAGACTGAATAAAAATCACAAATTATACTTCAGACATGTAAAATCATTGAGATATGCAAAATTGTTCTATTTTCTACTATTAGCTTTTACTTAAAGATTCAGTCAATTGACATAAAGGTGTCTGTATTTGGTATCCATAACCTAATTCAATAAACACAATATGTTCTTGTAAAAAAACACTAACAAAATAGCATTAATTTCATAGGTTCAATCCATAATTGTTAGTTCATATGAATAAATATTTAACCTGTAAAATGTATATTCAATATTCTACAATTATCTCATTAGTATACTTTGCTTTTAAACACTGTAAATACTTTACATACCATAACACATATAATGTAATATTACATAAAAGACAAATTAACAATTTCTATTTCTCATTTAAATAATTTTAAATCATTTATACATGAATTCAACTTATTTGCCCAAAATCTCCATGCTTTGTTATCATCACCCACCACCACAATGACATGAGCCACACAAAGTTGTTATAATTTAGAATACTATCTTAATCTTTAAAATTTGCCACAGTATAAGGTACACCGATCTCACAGCCTAAATGACATTAGAAAATGAATGCAGAAAAGACTAGCTGAGGAGAGAGAGTGATCTAAATTAAGGAACATCTGTGAAACACAGCCTTCTGTCTAATGTTGTGTCCTGACAGTCATCATAGTCAGGGCACAACATTTTACTACCTTAATCAGTGACTGACGATAGCAAAGGTCAGAATCTGACCAGGACATCAGCACAGAAGACCTATGTGTTGATAAAATGCAAGTCTATATTTTTATCTTTCATTTTGTTATGTAATGCTCAGGAAGAAGGCAGTTACCTTTGTTTTCATAGAGGTCAAATTCATGGCCAAACCCTTTTTTCACTCCACTTGACATACTATTGAAAGGGAACCAGTGGCATCGTTTTCTTGTCTTATCAAAAACAAAGGCCCTGAAAAAGATAGCTGAATGAAAAGAAAGAATACTACAATTTAACAGTTTTTGCTTTGTTTATTTAATGGGCACATGATTTACCAAGGAGGACATATAGAATAGGACATTATTACATATTAAAATACAATGGTGGTATGTGTATTTCCTATTTTGATGGAACAAACAACAAAGACAAAACAATTGTTTTATAAGTATAGATTAGGAAAAAAAAAATGCAAACAACAAAGACAAAACAATTGTTTTATAAGTATAGATTAGGAAAAAACAGATGAATACTCTGAAGAAAGTTTTGACATTAATTTCAATGATATGTAGAAAAATGAAGGTTTCAACAAGCAAATCATCGCATATAACTACCTAGATAATTTCTGAAGGCTTCAGTAGTTTTGTTAGTGCCCAGTTAGTTGGAAGTTTTTGTTAAATGAAAGTGATTACATTTGCAATATTATAATTAGCATGCAAAATTTGTAAATATACAAATATGTTCTAAAAATGACATGTCCCCTGGTGATGTAGCCCTGTGTCCAACTTTTGGGATGCTGAGACTGGAGAAATGTATCCAAGGCCTGTATAGACTGCAGAGTAACTTCAAGACAGACATGAATAGCTTTGCAAGTCCCTGCCTCAAAACAAAACAAAACAATATAAAATGGATAGGAATATAAGTCAGTGGAAGTAATTTCCTAGCTTGAAAAATGACTTAGAGTTCGGTCTCAGTCCTGCAAATAAAATAACTATAATCATATTCCTTAAATTGTGTTAGGCTGAGTACCCAGGCACCTGGCACAGATAACTTTCTTCTGCTCTTATCTCTCAGTCATGGAAGCTTCCTATTGAAGTAGGCAGTGTGTTTTTCCCAGACTCCTGACCATTTACTGAGAATAGCAACTGACTGTAGGAACCTGGCCCCCTCACAGCTCAAAGAACTTCCCAGAGAAGAGTGAAGAAGAATGTAGGAGGTGGGAGATGGGGAGGAGTGCTGTGAAATGTTGTCCCCTGGACACAACCTGGCTGCTCAACATAGGAATTCACAGCAGTGCTCACTGCCTACACAAGGCCAAGACAGTTGAAAGTTCCAGTATGGAATGACGACAGGCTCCGGATGACATGCCCCCAGCTGGGGCACTATGGCCAGTTGATGGCTGCTAAGGAAGAAAGGGTCACTTTTCTTTCAGGAGTGTGGCCACTGGTAGACCAAGCATACTTCAGTAGATGGCCCAAAGCCATGCACAGATAAGTACCACTAACTGAACTTATTGGGTATTTTTTATATTATTATTAAGCACAGGGATTTTGAAGGGAAATGTATTGGGGGACCTGGGAGGTATTGAAGTGTTGGGGGCTAGATATGACTGAGACACATTGTAATCATATAAAAAGATTTCAAGGGAAAATGTATTAGGCAAATCCCCACTCCTAAACAGTGTCTTCAGAAGGAAGAAATTGAACAAAATGTTTGGAAACTGTCACATTAATATCCTTGTTTGGTGAGTCATAAAATGTGAAATTTACTACAGAGAATGGAAATCCTACTGTAGGGATGCTATGTTCCTAAGTCAATGTTCCCTAAATAAGTTTATCAGCATGGACCTTTTAGTTCAAAACTATTAACATTAGACAATATGTTTTGAATTCATGCTCTTGGGGAAGATGTCCACATGTGTCCCCACTCCTGCAGCTAATGCTAGACTGCTTTTTCCACTGCCTATTAAAAGTATTTGCAAAAAAAACAAAAACAAAAAACTAGTAGGTACCCCCAAAGTTCTTCAGATTTTTTAAAGTACTGTGAACCAGAAAAGTAGGTTTGATTTCCAAGTCTATAAGAACCTTTCTTTCCTTCCATTGTAATAGAATAGGCTCTCCAAAAAGTACTGCTTTATATTATTTTACACTTCTCTGAGAAGTGTGTGGGGCCATCACATTCCCTGCATTAGATTTTTCTATAAATTTCTTATAGATCTTATTTTCAAACTCTGCATTAGAAATCCACAACAAAATGTGCTTCCCTTATTCTCTTCCCCTACCTTTCAACTCTGAGGAGGGAAGACTGGACTTGAAGCTCCAGTTTGCCAACAGAGCATCTCCATAAATTTACACAGCTCAGACGCTGATTGAGAGTTGCCTTTTCTGCCTTATTTTCCCCAACCCCAAGGCTTTTATGCAAAAGTCAGAATAAAACACAATTATCCCAGGGATAAGCTTACAAATCCAATTCCCACTACGGTTGCCAGGAAATGTCTTCATGAGAGTGGCAGTTTGGCTTTAAAAATAGAAAAGAGATAGTCTTTCCCCTGCCCAAGCAAGCTGAAGACCTTCTGAGACCGTGTCCTTCCCTAGGAGCCCACAATCCTCATTTCTCTGAGACAGGGAACACTAAATGGGAACATCTCACATGAAATCACTGAATTCTGTATTCTCATAAAGGGCCACTGTGAAAACAGAGTATGCAAGAATTGAACATTGATAGAATTTCTTCAAAAATACCACTTTTAATAACATGAATAAAAAAATCTAGGGCCTCTTGCATTCTAAGCAGGCACACTGACACCGAGCTACATTCCAGCCACACAACCTTTTGTGAACAATTTCTTTATTATCGGAGTTCATGTGTGTGCAGGAGTGAATCCATGTGTACCACATGTGTGCAGATGCCTTTAGAAGCCAGTAGAGGACACCAGATGTCCTGGAACTGATGCAAGTTCTGGTAAGGACCCTGATATGGGTTCTGGAAGCCAAACCCATGTCCTCTGCAGCAAAAGCAGCAAGTGTTCCTAACCACCAAATGAACTTTCTAGCACCCAATGTTATTTTTTAAGGTACAAAAGAGAATAGAAAATTAATCAAGAGAATACATTTTTGAAGAATGGTGTCTGTGTGTGTGTGTGTGTGTGTGTGTGTGTGTGTGTGTGTGTGTGTAGCTCTGTAGCTCAGGCTCGTCTTGAACTCATAATGACCAGCTTCCTTTGGTTTTGGGGATTATAAGAGTGCACTACCACATCTTGATCAGTAAATATATGTTCTTATTGCCATTTTGGATAATATTTTCACCTTGCTATTTCAAAATTGTAAGTTTTCTCCTCTGAGATCACTGGCAAATTAATAAGGAATTCTAAGTGACAAGGGGCCTGTCAAAAGGTAAGACTGTCTCTACTTCAAACCACTCAAGTCTCAGATGGCTCCATCACTTCCCACCCTACCTTTATCATCACTTTCTCTGACTTCTTTGAAGCAGTCTGTACTGCTGACACCGATCTCTCTAGGCTTTTATATAATTCTCTCAACACCTTTTATTTAAATCCCTACAGAGATGGTATAAATTGCAGTAAATTTTGGCTGTTGCCCAGTTCCTACCCAGAAAATCCTTGCATTGCTCTGCTACAAAAGAAAACAAGAAACACAACATTTTAGAATAAGAAAGAGTCCAATTTGGTTTTAGCTCTATGTTAATTGTTCAGAATCCACAGAACCTCAAATGGTCATTCATGTCAACTGAGAGATCTATCTGGAATGAGTTCAAGCTAGACTCAAAACTACTCTAAAGGACAAATTGCATTGACTAACAAAAGGGAGATGAAATATGATCACTATATATTTACTTTATTTGAAAACTTTTCAATAAAGAAAGTGAAATGACTTACTTGCATGTGAATGGAAGGCCCTTATTCCTGATACATCTGTTGGCACACTCATCTGCCGAGTTCATTTTTTTGCTTTTTATCTTCAATAATGGGTCTTCCTTGGTGAGAGTAGTCTTTGCTGACTTTTTGAATTCATGGAGTGTATTTCTTCTTTTCTTCTGCCCTTCTATTAATACAAAAATTAAATAGTTCAATGTGAAAGGTTTTTAATAATTATAGAGGGGTAAATTCCTTAAGGAACATCTTCATGATAATGATTTTATAGTACATCATATAGTATACCTCTAGGGGGTGGAGAGAGTTGGATGAGGATGCAGAAGAGCAAGAGAAAGTAACATTATAATTATGTAAAAACAGATAATTGCTATGTAAATTACTAATCTACATCCTTTCAAATGAAGGATGCATTGAAAAATTAGGACAAAGTTCACCCCAAAGAATAAACAACCCTAAAGAAGAGTTATTTCAAAATTAGGACAAAACTCACCCTAAAGAGATGATGTTCTCCAGACAACACAGAGTCAAGCATCAGTGCCAGAGGCATATGTATGCTTTGTAATTAAACTGTTCATTCTCCGATCTGTGGCTCTTTATATAAATTACGGTGCTAACTAGGTAAGTCTATCCAAAGGCATTGCAGTGAGAAACTTCTCACTAGAAACTCTGCATTGGACAAATTCTGCTGACTTGTTCTTTAAGTGCTTCATACTATACATATTTTAGCCCCTCTCTTTTTATTTTTGTACCAAAAAAAATGTATTCAGTGTTTGGGACACTATTTCTCAATTTCATAAAACTGTTTGTATTGAGATCAGGCCAAACACTGTAAATCAAATGTATGTAAAGCTTTATCCTTTAATGTAGCAACGGCATTTTTCTTCATGAAAGGACAAGACCTCTAGATAGTATGAAACTTACTATAAACTTGAAAAACAGAACCAATATATCCTAAAGATCTTAAATTTGTGAATAATTTGAAGATAATAAGAATGTGTTCCATCATTCTTAATTTCCTAAAAATATCCCAATTTAATACTGATCAAACTAATTAGCGTAAATCATCACATATAGAAACATGCATATCTACATGTAAATTTGTTTAATATCCCTTATAACAATGGTAATTGAATACATTCACTTTTAACTGGAACTGAGTAAAGACAATGAGAAATTAATTGGCCACTTGGAAGACTTCAGCCTGGAAATTTAGAGGCTCAGCTTCAGAGATAGCACTCAGAACAACTCCCATTGCCATCATTTATCTAAGAATGTATGTGGAAATGTGATTTGTAAACATTTCCTGAAGATTTGATTCAGGGCTATCAGCTGAAGAGAAGCTTGCATGCTACAGCAGGAAATGCATTCCTGGTCTTTAAATGTGGTGAAGTGTGTCAAGAAAAGAGGGTAACGTTTTCTATGCAGAAAAGTTGGGAAGATGGCTACCAGAGTGAAGTGCCAAGAATGGCATCATATCCTGTTGCCAGCAAGCACTGGCTCTGGTTGGTTTGTTAAGTATGCAGATGGTACTCAGTAATATCTATCCTAACCTAAAGTCAACAATAAATAAGAGAAAACATGTACTTCTCTAAGTTCTGAATTATTTTCAAAACTCCAGAACACAGTCTCCAAAAGACTGGTACATGGGCTATAAGATGCAAACAATATGATGTAAGAGATTTTATTTAAAGAAAACCTTGTTACATAAATTCAATCAAATAATTAATCAGTATGTTTATTTAATGAATCTGGGGTCAAAATTCCTTGACAGGCAGCTAAGGCTGGCATTGTCAATGACTTGCAAAGTGACTTTGTTTAATTACATGAAATTTTAATATACCAATTCTTAATTTATAAAAGAAAGGTTAAATTAATAAATTGAGTTATTTGAGTTATTTTCATTTAGTAAATATTGGGAGTATAACTAGTAATTGCAATAAAATGAAAATTTTAAGAACTTGGTATTGTTTTTTAAATTTCTTCACTTAATTTCTGACATAACTGTTATTCTTACAATAAAAGAAGTCATGATACTTGCAGATTGACATTTCTGTCACAGAATCTGGTTAGTGAGAAATAATTTTTCCATCATGAGTTTCTTTTTCTGTGGCCTTATTACACTACTTCTTTGGTGCTCCTAATATTTCATAGCATGATAATAATTTCATTCCTTATAAATTTAAATATTTCCTGTGATAGGAGCTTACATTGAGAAATGCTTAAGTTTTACCAAAATTGACTATATGTATGTTATGTATATATCAACATGTGTGAATTCGACCAACTAAGAATATAGCATTGGTCTTATGTACAATGTGCTTTTGTATGTGTCTAAGAGTAAAATAAGAACACAAAAGTAGTTTCGAAATAGCTATGATCAGGATTATGTTCCTAAGGCATTTTAGTAATTATAAAACAATGCAGAGCCTCTGGCCAATGCTATAAAAGAGTGAAGACTGTTCTGGAGAAAGGAGGTCTCTGCAGTTATTAGCTCTGATTAATTTTACAGATCCTCACTTGTCCTATTGAAATGTGTTAATGTATGGTTTTGCCTCATAAAGCAAGCTACTCTCACTTGCTAGTAAGAGTTCCATGACAAGAGACCAAAAAGCATCCTGAAAAATAAGTAAATCCATAATCTCCCTTTATTGTGTAATAAATAGAAGGCCTGGAGCTTCACAGTGCTAATAAGGACCAATCAGAACCAGATACCAAGAATCCCTCGGCACTGTGACATGTGAACTTTCCTGCATAACTCAGTCTGTATACTAGATCAGTAACTAAGTACTTATGCATCATTTAATTCATCCATCTATAAAACTAATTATTTCCTTAATAAGAGAAAAAAAGGCAAAACAGAGGTCATTCAAAATTAGCTTCTGAAAATGCAATTCCTTTGCTGAAAGTAGATTTCACTGTCTCTTCCTCATGTATCAACTGATGCTTATTTTACTAAAAATAATTAAAAAGCCAAGCTTAATTTGGGAAAAAATTCAAAAATATGTTTGGATCAGATTTTTTCTACTATTTTTTGAATGTGTCTGTTAGTTGAAGTTTATAAACAAGAAATCCAAGGGTAACACTGCAAATTTATCAGGATTTCCTGTATTTTAAATTATGTTCCTTTCTCTTTTCCCAGCCCAGTAAAATATTCTGGAAGGTACCTTTCCTGAAGAACCTGAGGCCCCTGTTTTAGAACTGAGATCACTAGGGTCCTAGTTGAAACCTACAAACAGAAAGCGAGGTCAAGCATATCAAGGCAGTTGTGGAAAGACACATTCTCCCCCTGGCCCCTGGGCCTCACAGTCGTTTCTCTCAGTACCTCATATATTTTCTTCTGTGTGGAAGAACCTTGGACTTCAAAGGAAAGCCAGGCAAAGGAAGGATTTGCAGGGTGTGGAAAGAGCAGGAGTCTGGTTCCCCATAACTGAAGAAAACTACCCACATGATTAGTGATTAACAGTTTGAACTGGCAAGATGTTAAGATGAAAGTCTACAAGTAATTGATGGAAGGCAATGGTTGTGACTGGAGAATTTTAACTCCTAAAGACAAGGATCACAAAAAGAAGTCCCAGTTTCCACTGTTACTGTCTAGGACTCAGACTCACTCTTTGCCAGCAATGTACTACTCCATTTTGGAGAAGTTAATTTCATGGTAAATGAAGACAGTGAGAAGGAAGCGCTTTGGCAGGTTTAGACCAAGTACTGGTGGCTGGGATGCAACATAATAACCTCGCTTCTGAAGACTTATAGGATAAAGTGCTCATGGGGAAGTTAAGAATCTATTCCCTCCTTTCTACTTCATTTTCTGGAATTCCTCATTGTAGATGTGCCAGTGTCTGTCCTTCTCTTCCAGCAACTCTCTTCCACTCAACAAATAAAGCAGCCATATGGAAGTGCAAATACTGTGTCCTATTGGTTTAGAATATTCAGTCACTGCTTCCAATAATCACTAGAGATCTCTTGGTTTCCTATGACATACAAGGCTACCATTCTATCCCATCTTTCTTATTTTTCCAACTACAGGCTGTAGCCCCACTAGGAACCCAGTTTACCAGTCCTAAGAGGTGACCTTCACTTTCGGTTTATAGATCTTTCTGGAGTATCTCTCATACTTTGTTACCCCTGCCCTTCAGGCAACTTGCCCGTTCTTGTGACTAGAGTACCAATCATGCTATAGCTCATCTTCTTACACATGACCTGTCTACGGCACACCTCTCAAGTCAAGCTTGAAAACTAAGCTAATGAAGTCTCGGCTATTCTATAATGACACTTACCAACACAAATTTTGTTTTATTTTGCTTTTTGATAATGCTGGCTACTTTATATTACTTAGCCAAATGATGTTTAAAAGTATGTTTGAGCTGATTGTAGTGTTAAGCTTTACTATAAGAAAAACTTGTATTTTCCATTCACTTAGAATTCAGAAATTTCTGTTTAGTCCCTTAGTTAACAAAGATAAATTTTAAGATGTATCAAATAAATCCAAGAATGCAGGTATCAGAACTGAGTTTTACTTATAACTTATTTCTTAGCACCATGGTACAACAAAAGCAAGTTCCTCTCCTGTTTGCTGAACTTTGTATTCCTAAAGACCCTTGTATACCAGGTATTCTCTTAGTGTTTAATTTCTGAGACAGAGTATTCAGTATTTGTTTAGCGATTTAGTGTGAGAGAATAGATGATAATGTTATGCAGTAGATGAATTCCTATCAAAACTGCTTGGATCATCCACATCAATATTTCTTAAGAATCTTCTTTTAAAAAGTTATCTCCACAACATATTCTGCTCATGAGTGCCTGTCAACATACTGGGGTACCCACTTCCTTTCTGATGGATAGCCATGCAAGTAACAACAACAAAGTAAGTGTTCAATGTTAGATGAAAAGTCAGGAACAAACTCTCATTACATATTTGAAAAAAGCTACTGTTTCCATTTGGGAAGTTGTTTAAGACAAGGAAACTGTTAAAAACAAAGTTGCAAATGCAACAAAGATGGGCCCACTTCTGATGACAATTTTAGTATTATCCACTTGAGGAATTATTCATAACATATATCTGTAATTCCCAAAGGCCCTCTCTTGGCCTGCCAGCGCACTCTCAGACTGCTCTCTATATACTCAGGAAACAAAGTCATTTCAACATTAGCCAAAGTGAAATATAATTACAAATGTATACCTCCTGCCAAAAGTGTGTCATGCACGCCAAAAAAACAAATGGAAGTTGTCTTTGGTCGATCTACTGTTTGACTTTCCAAACTGAGATCTTGCATTAGCTCAACTGAGTTCAGGTAACCATACTTCAAGGCAACAGCATTTTGTTTTTGAAAAGTGAAAGAAGAAAACTGGACCAAGATTACAATTTATGCTAGTACCCCCTAACCTAGCAATGTCTTAAAGATTCACCTAACATGACACTTTGTCAGGAACCTTTACCTATGCCCTTTTAAAGGGCCCTTTCCAAAGTGTCTGTTTTCAAAAGGAGTCACTTCCCAATGCAGAAAAAAAAAAAAAACAGGTGGTTTCAATATTTTTTATTAGCACTAGCTACTTCTTGTATTACATCAGATACTAGATCAGAGGTGTGATAAATGTCATAGTTAACTTATCTTAAATTATCAGCCTGTTTCCTTGTTTTCTTGCTTTTTAAAAAGTCACCTATCTGCTATTTGGGCACTTGGTACAGTCTTTATTTCCCCAAAGTTCACTGCCTTCTCCTGCTGTCACCCCAGTCCAGACACTGCAATAATAACACAATAGATACAGATGTTTCCTCTACTCTAGCTAATAAGAGAAAACTTCCTATACCAATACATGAGATCCCTAAATATCCAGGCACTCTGAACTATTCCAAGAGGGACAATTGTGCTGTATCCATACAAATCAAAGATGTGTTCCTCCCTGCACTGCAGCATCAACAGCAATCATCCATACCAGAGAGAGAGAAGAGAAGCTTGGAAGGAAAAGCTTTCTGTTTCATTTTTATAACATGTATATACTCAGAGCTTAATATGCCTCCTCCAAATGAAGACCTGCACAATGTCAGAATTTGGAGCTGAAGGTTGACTGGATGGACACTTATAGGAAATTCTCCTTTTGGGAAATCAGGAGTCCCTGGTTAGACTGACCATCACTCTCCCCTCTTCAAGCCAAAGTCTGTCTTCGTTCTTAAACTTAGCCAAACCAGCAAAGTTCCAGCCAGTGTTAGCACTTCATTCCTATCCCATAATTCCGGACTGCTTAGCTAAATGAGGTGGGGCCTGATGGGGGTGGGGGTATCACTGGGGGATGTTAATTATCATTTTAAATGTTTTTCAAACAGAAAAGGAATGTCAAAAGAAAGCATAATGAGAGGTTAGGAAGCCCCACACTACACATGGAGTTAAGAAAGGATGCTGGAAGAAGGGTAGAGAGCTTCTTGGAAGGAAAGAGCAAGGTCAGCAGGAGAGTTAAAGCAATCACAGTTTCCATGAAGCAGAAGTAAACTTACCTGCATAGGGGATGGTGACAGGAAGCAGGAGGAGGTGCAGGAGGACGTGCTGCAGCAACAGGACCGGTAGAAGTTTGGTCCCCCACATCATGCTTGCAGATCGAGCAGGCTGATCCCTCTGCAGGAGATGCCGGGCTGAAAGAATCCTGTTGTGAGCCGGTCGGTTCTGAGCTGCTTTTATTGCGATGAGCTAAGTTTGTTGTGTGATTAACTGGAAAGATCTAGGTCTGAACTCCCTCTTACGGTAAGAAACTGTTTAACAACAGCCCTTTACTCTCTTCCAGCCCCTTCCTTTCCTCAAACTCTCCCCCCAACAGATCCCAGCTCCCCCTTCCACGCACCCCCCCCTCCAGAAAGAAACTTAAAAAGCAAAGGTCACCTGGCCCCAGGCCAGCTGCAATTTGGAAGCCCGAGCTCCAGATCCTTGTGGCTCCTATCCGAGTAGGGAAGGGAGGAGCAAGGCTCAGTCCAATCGCTAAGTCAAGGCACAGGCACAACACCAATTCGCCCCGTTTGAACAGGAAAATGAATGTGTTTACATATCTATCTGGGAAAAGAGGAAGGGGAAGCAGCATAAGAAGAAAGCGGAGCAGTCCTTCTGTCAAATGAGCCCAGCGCCCAAGTCTGCGAGATTGCTGTGCTGGAGAGATCTATGGATGGAACACTGACCCACAGCTCCCTGGGTTTTAAAGCCAGTGTGAGCAGAGGGAGGCAGGGGTCAGAGCTTAGGACAGCCCAGGTAGAAAGAAAGTGGACAGGTAAAAAAAAAATAAATAAATAAGGGGGTGGTCTTGAGGAATGAGACTAAATAACAGCAGAAACAAAGCACCCAAGTTTTCAGGCCAGAAAATTGCCCTGTCCCATGCATGGGATTGGGATAGGCTACCCCAAATCACCCCGAATGGATTCCAAAAACGTTTTTCAAATGTCTCTTTTCTGATGTATCTGGTGATGCTTTCTCTTAAACTGTCTTAAGACATAGACATGTCCCATTGCTTATCCCTGACAAGCAAATAGATGCTCGTCTTTCTGAGCTTGTACATGGTCACATATGTTTGCATGCACTAAGACAGTTGCCTGAGATCCCTTGAGCTATTCTAATTTTCCTAAATAATGTCTGTACCACCTTTCTCCTGCTCACCACCACCCCCCGCACGAATCACACAATCTGAGGGGGAGGAGGAAGCACATGCAGTGGTGGAGGGGGCCTGCCCCCTGAGCATCACATTTTGGTGAGATCATTGCCCAGACTTCTCCTTTTATTCCAACATGGGGGTGGGGGTTGCTCTGATAAGTCAGATGACAGAGTACTTTCATTCTCTTGGCCTTTGAGGAATGGTTGCCTCTGTGTTTCTGAGGGGGATATCCATAAGAACTAGTACCTCTTCAGAGAAAGGGAACATTATCAGAATGTGAGACTCTCTCTCTAAAGTCGGCTGCCCTACAGGAGTCCCCAAGGGACGGGCTGGAGAGATGGCTCAGAGGTTAAGAGCACCTACTGCTCTTCCAGAGGTCCTGAGTTCAATTCCCAGCAACCACATGGTGGCTCTCAACCATCCGTTATGAGATCTGGTGCCCTCTTCTGGTGTGCAGATATACATGGAAGCAGAATGTTGTATACATAATAAATAAATAAATCTTTGAAATAAAGAAGTAACCAAGGGCAAAATTAAAGTCGGTAGCAGGATGGCTTCCTCTACCTCCACCGCAAAACTCCAAAACAGCTTCAACTGCCTGCAGAGACAAGAGAGGGGGACAGATTGGAGGGACAAAGAGAAGACAACTAAAAGATAGAGCGGAAGGAAAGAAGAAATAAGGAGGGAAGGAGGGAAGGAGGGAAGGGATAGGTTCTTGTGGATATGGGTATCTAGTGTTGAAGGGGAGCTCCTTTGGGGGATTTTGCTTTTAAATTTTATGTGTGTGCATGTATGTCTGTGTACCACCTGCATGACTGTTCCCTTCAGAGACCAAGAGAGGGCGCCTGATCCCTTGGAACTGAAATTGAGGTGGTTGTCAATTGAACCCTGGACAAGCAAGCTGAGATCTTGACCGCTGGATCATTTCTCCAGCCCCCTTTTATATTACTTGTTTCCTATTGCTCTTTCTTTTCATCACTTTTCTGTATAAAGAGTAATTCAAATATACTATTTTTTCAGTTCCTCTCCAATGTTCCAATTGTCTATTTTACTTTTTTAAGAGTTCACTGAACTTTCTAAAACATCTCATTTCAGTATATAACTGACCATGACTCTGGGGTGCCCAAAGCATCTCTAATGCTATATTAGAAAGTAGAGGAGATATTTAGAAAATAATTTCCCCTGTAAATTTCGTAAGTATAATGAGTGGAGAGAGGCAGTCAGATTTTCTGTTTGGGTCTTTTTCCTCTCTCTCTCTCTCTCTCTCTCTCTCTCTCTCTCTCTCTCTCTCTCTCAGAGAGAGTAGTGTAGTCTTCAGAGTTTACAGATTAGGGAAGGGCTCATGAGGACCTTGCCCTTCCTGAGGGTCTTGTCCATCTATAGGCAGTTAATAGTTGCTGGAAAAATAACATTTTCTTCAGTGGTTGCCCACACTCTTGTGAAACATTCTAATGAAACTATTGGTTCACTCCATGCAAAAAAAACAAAACAAAACAAAACAAAACAAAAAACAAAAACAAAAACAAAAACACTTGAGAAGTAGAAAGGGGATCACTGGGAAGATGAATGGGGACAGCAGTACAGGAAAGTGACAAGAAAAAGGACAATTTGGGGGTAAATTTAATCAGAATATAGGGGTGGAAAAATGTTATAATGAAACGCATTATATGCAAATAATATCTGCTAATACAAGTTTTTTTTAAAAAATTTGGATCAAATAAATCTGTGATAAAACAGAGCAACACAATACAATAAATACTCTATGCCTATTTTAAATTATACTTTCTTTTTATTTTATTCTGACAAGTTATTTGGTTCATTGAAATATTAGCTAATATTCACTTGTGTTTTAGTACACACAAAGCACTTTAAGTCTTCACAGTGTTTGATGTAAATCTTGGGGTAAACATAAGAAGGGACCATTACATGCCCCACAGTATAGTTAAGGAAACTTAAGTAAATAATGTTTGCCCAAGGTCACAAAATAGTAAATACTCAGGTGTTTGTTTCATATACACTGATCACAATCTGTAGGAAGGAATAAAGTTATTTAAGCCTCATGGGTAGCTAGAATTACATGTTCAAGATTGTAATGACCAAGGTTAGTCTAAAACTGAATATATAAGAAATACTCAGAACTTTAAAAAATGTGTACTTGTACAGGTGTTAGTTACTCTTTTATAGCTGTGCAAAGGCACCATGACCAAGACAACTCTTATAAAAGAAAGCATTTACTAGAGGCTGGCTTTCAGCTTCAGAGGGCTAGTCCATTAGCATCATGGCTGGAAGCAGACAGGCATAGTCCTAGAACAGTATCTGAGAGCTTTACATTCTTATTGGCAGACAATAGGCAGAGAGAATCTGGAGCTAGTCTGGGCTGTTGAAACCTCAGAGCCCACCCGCAGTAATTCACCTCTTCCAACAAAGACACATCTATCTTAACAAAGACACACCTCCTAATCCTGACCAAGCAGCTCACAAACTAAGGAGTTATTATGTGCGCATATGTGCGCCGTTCTAAGTCACGTTGGGTCACACATCCTAACGTCCCAACAACATGGGAAGCTATAAATCCCAGGCAAGCTTGTGAAAATAGCAATATCCCATCTCTAAAAACACTTTCAAGACATAAATAATTTGAAAGCCTTGAAATTTATAATGGAATATTTAAATTTAATAAGTTACTAGTACTGCCATTGTTTTATCTGCCGGTCTATCCTTTCTCTGAATCATAATGATTTCCCCTTCTGGTGCTAATTACCATGTTTTAACTGGTTTGTATAAACCTTTCAAATATGCTTGTGAAAATTTACATAAAATGAGACGTTTTCTAAGAGACTATTTTACATGCGATAATTTTTGTAACTATATAAACTTATATTAATTAATCATGTAATTATTTAAACACGAGCCATAAATTATCATTTTAAATCTGTCCTGAAATTGGGTTCTCTTGTGCATGAGGTGCCTGAGATGAACTGAAAGGAAACATATACACTAATGTACATTTTACAAGCTGTCTAGGCCTTTAGAACATATGCCAGGGGTAGTAATACGTCTCTGTGGTGTAGTGTTTGCCTACAAAGTGTGAGGCCCTAAGTTAAATCTCAGAGCATGGAGAATGACAATACCATGCACATACTGATATCTTTTTCAAAAGCCCGTCTTTGTCAACTGCAAGTGATGCATGTAGAAAGCTTACCCTCAATAAGATAATCTGTGATGTGATCCTGTAATCTCATGGCACTGCCGATTTCCCTGCATATGGAAAACTCATTCCACTCCTTAAGTGCCTGGCATACACCACTTGGCATTATGTTTTCTGATTAGCCCCCTTTAGATTCAAGTTATCTCCAAGACTTTTCAAATTCTAGCTGGATTACTTACTAAATTTATTAGTGTATAATTATAACTGAGTCTCCCTATCACCAAAACAGAATACAATGCTCTGTGTTACTAGCTAAACACTTCATACCTATTATCTCTTTCTTCCTTCTTTTTAAGGAAAATGGGGGACTGTTATGTATATTTAAGAGGCATATGTTAATAAAATGTCACTGATTTCCAAGTAATAAAACTGAAGCTTAGTTTTGGCAAGTAACTTACTTTATGTTAAAAAGATTTTTTAAAGTATGACTTGAAGCAACACCTAGAGAAACTTGTGTTGTGATTCCCAACACTCCTTCCAGCCTTGAAACTTTATGATTTCACATATGTGAAATCTTTGATATGTCCACATACCTGTGATCTTTGATACATACCTGTGATCCTTTCCGGTGCTTCTTCATTCCTTCTCTTCTCTCTCTCTCTCTCTCTCTCTCTCTCTCTCTCTCTCTCTCTCTCTCTCTATCTCTCTAAACATACCTACATACCTGATGGAGGCAACTTATCAATTCAGATTCCTCTTTCCAAATATGTCAATGTTTGTATCATGTCGACAAAAAACAACCAGCATACCTATCATTTCATAGAGTCCCTGGATATAATACTGATTAATCTAAGATGGTTCATTAAAGGTCATCTAAATGTGATTATACACTCAACCAGAAAGGTACAGCCAGTCAATGATAATTGATGCAAAATAACAATAACAATCAAAATACAAACAACCCAGAAACACTAAAAGCATTTATTGATATCATTGTAATGTGAAATCCTATACTTACCACAAGATTTTTCGACAAATATAGCTGTTTTGCTGAACATAAAGAAACAATGGACAAAAAAGTACTCATTGTTTGGAAGTCAACTCATGTCCTCCATGCATGACACAAGCCCAGGGAACACTGTCATGAGAGAAAACATTGTCAACTAGTTATTGTTCACAAAGTACCTGCCCAGGGAAGAATGCAATGCAATCCATGATGCCAAGAAGTCGCTGAGAGCTAAGAACTGGCAA